GAGGGTAAAGTTGAAACTTGTGGGAATGTGCCTTCAGCACAGATGACCTGAGAGTCACAGGCGATCAAAGCACAAGGGACTCACTACAACAAACAAAATGCATGTTCTTGCTCCTACTTTGTAGCACACGAAGCCAGAACTTCATGGTCAAGCACTTTATTCTACAGGGCGAGACACTTTTCTTACTTTCACCTAAGAATTCTGTGGCCTGCTTGCCATCCCTACCTCATCCTCCATCACCGCGTTTTCCTTTAACGTTTAATAGAGCTAAGTCAACAAATGGCTCCGAGAGCCCCAAGAACGCATTCATATGGATGATACACCAACTCACACAGTTCACCCAGAGCCCTCAATAACAACACAGGTGTCTACATTAGACTTCGTTGAGGTTAAAAATGGCCAACACAATCCCTTTCTCACTAGCTCGTCCCTTCAGTCACACTGGTTCCTGGCTCCAGTCCTCTTTAAGAATGAACCCACTTGTATTTGGAACATAGTAACACAATGCCTAAGTGGAAGGGTGGGGCCGCTTCAAGGAACATGAGTACAATTCAAGATCTTTCTTGGGTTGCATTTCCCATACGTTTCTGACCACCTTGCCCACGGCACCTCCCATAGATTAGTCATTTTCACTTTATGAGGCCAGACCATGGCCCTTAAGGGCCTGAAGAAATTTTCAAGATGATGTCTAGACCTTGTAGAGAGTGATCAGGAATAGTGATGAACATAACTCCCACTAAATTAATGGGTTTGATTTTTCTCTTTCCAGCATAAGATTTTGGCTATAGGCTTAAGGACTCTTTAAGTAATGAATTATGCTAGGCATAGTTCCCAGGAGTCTAGCTGCAATTATACTGGATGGTTTTCTCCAAACCATCACCACAAAATGTCACCTGGGGAGAATGCCAGGCCTACTCATGACTCAGGCTTGTCTAGTTGTCCGGCTGCCAGGAGATATGTTTGTAAAGTCTAATCCTTTACCACACATGTATGAGATGTGGTAAGGTTTTCAAGGGTGCAGGTCATCAGGCTGAAGGCAAATCCACAAGGAAACAAAAGATGTATCAGCAAGTATTCACTGGGAGAAAAGGCTTAGGGAAAACGCCTTGTGTTAACAGTTAAGCTCAGCTGGGTCTGAAGATGATTTATATCATTTTCTTTATGATAAGGTACATATTAATGACACAGTTGCCACTTCTAAATACAGTAATAACTTAAAACATAGCATTTTTATAGCTTTTAAAAATAACCATCATCCATAAGTTTCAAAACATTCACACTCCTGCAGTCTACATTTTAGTGTTTAGCCAAATTTTAGAAATAAAATTTTAGCAGGAAAATGGAAAAGCACCTTGGGAATTAAATGTAAGTCTTACTATTTAGTGTTTGTGTTTCACAAAATAGATTGTCATATGATTGTATATTATTCAGGAGCCCTTCTAGTACCCAAGAATAACATCCATGTTTATGTAGAAGAAAACACTTGTATATTAGGTCAGTGGAAATATTTTGCTATGGAAGCAAAACTTTATGGTCATTACAGGTGAATTCATTTTCAGTCTGCTGTAAGTCAGGAATAGATGGCCATGGTTTCTTTTACATCTTACACAGGCTTTCTTTATAAAAAGATTCGTGGAAACAAAACACTGACTGAGTTTGGGATTAGACAGAACAACAATAAAAAGAAAACTTTTCTTGCCAAACAAATAAGACACCTAATTTTTTTTTCACATAAAATGGATGGTTGTCTCACAAGACTATCAGAATTAACTCTGTACAGCAAGGGCATCTTCCTCCACCAAGGACAGTTCCAGGGTGTTTTCGTTAGTGCTGGTTTTCATCCTGAAGTTGAAAGAACCATAGAGTTTGGCGGACTCTTTGGAAGAGGCAAACCTATTTCGACGATAGAGTTCGCCCTTCCACATAGACATCATCAACAAGCATGAGAGAACCACTCCCCCGAGTGTGAGGAGACAGAGCCCAGCGATCACACAGCGGTCCAGGTGTGCACCTAGCCTTGCACTCTCCTTTTCTAGGCGCTCCATCTCCCGGGCTGCCACGGTATTGGGATCCACTGTCACCTCCCGCGGGACAATATAAGAAATGATCACCAGCAAGATACCGGTGACCAAGAACAAGATGGCGCTGATGAAACCATAGTCTATGGACTTCCCCGAAGATGTGGCTTCTGAACCTGTGTCATCTTCATCTTCAGACATCAACGACATGGCAGCATCATGGGACCATTCATTAGCGTTCCCCCAGCCAAGATCTCCAGGGCGATTACCGCCTTTTAATGATGGGGACCTCTGACTTCTCTGTTCTAGGTTGACGTTCTCATCCACGTAAGTGAAAGAAGTTTCTAGTTCGTGGCTGCAACAGTTGCAGACTTTACGATCTGCCATCACTTGGTTGTTTCCTGAGTCAGGAGGTCCTGGTGGGAGAAAGCTTGGCTGAATAGCACTGCCTTGGACCAAGGAGGTAGGGGATGCTAGAGAAGGGCTAAATCTTGACACTTCCACCACGGCTGCTCCTGGTGAGGATGCAGAGTTTTTCTGAGAGCAAAGGGCAGCTGTGATGGTTTTCTCCTCTGCCTGGTCACCAAGAGTCTCTCCGGAACTCCAGTCCATACCGTTGCACAGGTCCTCTGGCCTGTTCCTCTTAGTCAGGGAGTGGAGCTCCATGGGAGCTGCTTAGAATCCCTGCAGCAATTTCAAGAAATTCTGAAAGTGGCGACACAGATAGGGACCCAGCTGGTCCTATAGAGCCCGTTCTATAGAGAGGCCTGCTCCTGTGGTCACCATTTCTGTTATAGCCATGGCGGGGTAAGGACACGTTAGCCTCAGTTCCTCATGAGAGTGACAGAAATGAGAAAGGGAACCTGGGGACAGAAGACTATGGAAAGAGCAAATCTTCAGACTTGTCACCGGGTTAGCAGGGAGAAACTCGGGTCAGGGTAGAGGAGGGGCGAGCAGGAAGTAGCAGTATCTCCAGAGAGAGCACACTGCCGTCACCCAGCCAAATTTATCCAGGGACTCACACATTCCCGTGACAGAATCCCTCAAAGGAGAAGGCAAGTTTCCTGTAGAGAGACACAAAGGAGAAAGGCAGGGCCCTATTTAGCAGAGCTGCTGGATTTCTGGAGTTCTTGAGCAAGGGCAGACTTCTTAAGAAATTAATTCAGTTAGAGTGTGTGTTGATACACCAGTTGGGAACAGATTCTAATACAGATTAAAGCTTTAATGAAAGCAGCCTCCTATCAGCTGGGTGCCACTGAACAAGCATCTTGACTTAGCAGTTTTGGAGTGAATGAAAAGGATGACTTCATCAGCCAGTGGCCAACAAGAGGAATCAGGACTAGTGAATCACTTCTTCATGTAGCTACTAACCCACTACACCCAGCACTCCCACTGCTGTCTGCAAAACACAGCGAGCCAGTCCACGTCACACAAGTATGCTTGCTACCTGCTCCCATTGAGCGCCTGCTGTTCCCACTCACAGAAGTCTCAGTGGTTCTGAGATACTTCTCCTCCCTACAGTTTGCTAACACACAAGCACAAGAAAGTGTGCCCCCTCCCCGGGAGTGTTTACGAGTCCCTTGTACAAGTTGAGGGAACAAAGAAATGATAAATAGCTTCGGATCAAGGCAAAGAAGCAAGAAGCAATTTCCAAAGCTACCACCGTTGAGGCTCTCTCTGTATCCATGGTATTTCCTCACTTCTACTGCACCCAGAGCCTCCTCGATGGAATGGTACCCTGTGGTGAACAGAAAGCCATCTGCCCATCTTTTCCTGCCTCTGCTAGCTTCCTGGGGAGGGGGATTTCACTATACATTCTCAATAAATATAAGGGGTTTAATCAAGGACTCTCTTTGTTTTTTATTTCAATCCAGAGTGGTGATTAACTTTAAACCAAGGCTGGAGGATTAGGAGCCAAAATCCCCAACTCCAGCAGCTGGTAACAGAGGCACAAAAGCAAGGCTCACCTAAGACAGCCAGGCAACTCACAGAACAGAAGGGAAAAGAAAATCGACACGTTTTCTGCTGTATTTCAAACCACCCTCCTGTGCACAGAAAAAAACAACAACAACAAAGTGAAACAACAACAAAAATCAAAACAAAACAAACCCACAGCGCTAAGTGCAAGAAAACCATAACCGACAAGCAAGTGGACAAGCCCCTACTGAAGGATCCTTCAGTGAAGCAAGCAACGGGAACCGCTTTCATCAATTACGGAAAAGAAACCCTCACAGATGGATCCCTCGGGCGTGAGTCGCTCTGATTAACCTTTGGCACAACTAACTAATCATATTAGACTGCTTTAGATAAAATCGGCAGGGTCCCTTGCGAGACTTCCAATTTATAACAAAGCAGGGAGATACTCATATTCTCTCTCTCTCTCTCTCTCTCTCTCTCTCTCTCTCTCTCTCTCTTTCTTTCTCTCTCCCTCTGTCTGTCTTTGTGTGTGTGTGTGTATGTGTCAGTCTGTCTGTCTCTCTCTCCGAGTACCGAAGAGCATGCTAAACTTCTCTCTACAGTGGCAAAATTAAGGTGCATTTGTATTGTCCGAAAGATACCTTACACGATCCAAAATGAGAATGATATCAGCCAAGTCGCATCTATCATAAAGAGGCAGCTGATGTGTCTCCAATTTATGTTTTTGGTACATACAAAATATTCCTGTAAATCCCAGGGAGCTAAATGGGACCTATGCAAACAGGTACAAAGATGAACTCCTGATAAATAGTATTCAATCTATAATGATCCCAGATTCCTTTCATCCTCTGGGATCCTACTCTCCGGAATCACTCCCTCATCTGACCACCCATCCCTCTGATATCAGGACGTCAGAAACATTTCTTTTCTAACCTTAACTTCATCTCCTACACTGCTCACATCTGGCAACATCGAGGAGGCCAGTGTATGAGCTACATGTCCTGTACAAGGAAGGAGCAACCAGATAATTCAGGATGTGGTAGGACCACAACATTCTCAGGTCCCCCAATGATGGTTATTGCCCCTACTTCAGCAGGATGAAGTCTTGAGTCCTTGAAAGCCTTATTCCATAAATTGCCAAGTCTTCCACCCCAACATTCCATATTCAGGGAAAGTGGGAAT